AAGGGGGGGGGGGGAGGCAGAGGTTCAACCCTGACCAGCCTTAGCCTTAGCCTTCACACACTTGGCCAGACCCAGGGAGTCCAGCACAGGCCTGTGGGCATGGGATTGGAAAGAGTGGGGTCCCACTGCCCCTGAGAAAGCACCCCCAACACTCTTCTTGGACAGAGCCCGCCACGCTGTGGAGACTGTAGCTGCCCAAGACCGCTCCTGAAAAAGAGGCTCCTTGGGGGTAAGAGGGGGTGTCCTGGGAGCCACCTCCACAGCAGTAAGTCAGGTGTGGCCCGAGGCCAGCACGCAGGTATGACAGACACTGGCTGGAAGGCTTCCAGAGAGGGAGGGGCAGGGCCCCCAGGTCCCAAGGATGCGGAGCTGTGCTCCTTCTACCCCAGCCCCTCAGGGCAAAGGTCACTGGAAGGGGGCAGTGGAGAGCCCCGAACAGGCTCCTGCTGGGCAGGGCATTCAAGGACCTGTTGACCCTTCTGTCACCCTGGCTGCCCTAGTAGCTGGGGGCCGGGCACCTTTCCCAGGACTCCTGAAGTACTCAGTGTGCTGTAAACAGCACTTGACGCGCCTGCCTGAAGTGCCTGTGAGTAGAGAAGGCCATCCCGGTGCACACCCACCTCTGCACTACCGCTGGAGGGGCTGGAGGGCCCGGAAGCACCCCTCACCCCAGGGGAGTGGGTTGGCCACACCTGGGAACCCAGGAGGGTGGGGAAGAGTTTGCCTTGCCCAGGCCCTACCGGCCAAGTTCCTCCTCCAGATGCCCTGGGAGGCACCAGGCTACGGTACCCAAATACTCTTCAGAGGCCACCCCATACAGGGCCCCAGGAACAGCGTAGCCCCAGGACACAGTGACCTGGGCCACTGCCGGGCTACCGGGGTGGTGAGGCCCCTCCCCCGACTCTCACGGTCCCGCCCACGAGTTACTTTCTCTTTCCAATGAAATACCTTTTGCTGCACCTGTCCGTCCTCCAGCCTTTGCGCCCTGAAAGGCCAGAGCCTCGGCCCCAGAGGCGCGCGTGGCCCCACCCCAATCCCTGGGCACCTCGATGCAAAACAAACCAGGCCCCGCCCCCGGGCCGGCGCCCGAGCTCAGACCTTCCACCCGGGTCCTGGGCGCGGGCAAAAGACCCCTCCCCACCCGACCCGCGCCCCTGCCAGCTTCCCGGAGCGGACGGGCCGGGGCGGGGGGCGCTCTACCCTCTGGAAGAACATCCGCCCGGCCTCCGCTCACCCCGGCAGGACCCCTGCCGGATCCCGGCCCCGTCCCCTCACCCAGGCAGGCCCCCTGTCCCGCCCGCTCACCTGGCAGGCCCCCTGTCCCGCCCCCTCGCCCAGGCAGGACCCCGCGCCGGATCCCCGCCCCGCCCCCTCACCCAGGCAGGCGCCGGTGACCAGCGCCGTGGCGGTGAGCGCCCCGGCCGAGGCGCCGTAGATGTGCGTGGCGTTGGCCACCAGGAAGGGCGCGTGCTCGCGGAGGCAGGAGGCCACGCCGATGTGGTAGACGCCCAGGAAGCCGCAGCCCGCGAACGAGATGTTCCACGTCGCCTCCTTGGGGAACATCGCTGCGGCCCTCCGGGCTCCGGGGCTCGCTGCGCGCCGCGCGCTCCCGCTCGTTCCGGGGCCGGGCCGGGCCGGGCCCGCGGTCGCTCTAGCTCGGGTCCCCGCCTGCGGAGGCGGAGACGCTGTGCCTGGCGGTGGCGGAGGCGGTGTTTTTAGTGGGGGCGGGCGGGGGCGGGGCCAGCACGCGCCGCCCAATCGGAGCGCGCGGGGAACGGCCGCGCCCACCGGGGGCCTTGGGGCCCCGCCCCCGGGCCCGAGACCCAGTGCCCGGCCTCGCGGGGAAGCTGGAGGGAACACACAGTGGCCCAGGGGTGTAGGGAGGGGGAGCGCAGGCCTGGGGCGCGCGGAGTCTGGCGGCCCGAGAGCCTCGTACAAATCCGGAGACTTGCGAGGGGCAGTCACCGCCCCGCTCCTGAGGGGCCCACCTACAACACCCACTCGGGGCACTGAGGAGCTCGCCCCAGGGCAAGGACCCCAGGGCTCATCCACAGACTGACTCATAACTATCTAGGGCTGGAGGCGAATCACACACAATTCTCAGAGCTAACACTAGTGCTATAGACCCCAACCTGACGCCCAGGCCCTAGCTGCCCGCGGGGGCGGCCCCTCCATAGCTGGGCGCTAACCAGGGTTCTA